TATATATATATATATATATATATATATATATATATATATATATATATATATATATATATATATATATATATATAAGTAAATAACATCTAATATTTGGTGACATAACCCTTGAATGCAAGAACTCCATAAATTCTGCGACCTGTTGACTTTATTAAACTGTTGCATTCATCATTTGCGATGCTTTTTCAATTTTTTAACGGAGACACTTGTTTGTTTCGGGTGTTCCTTCATTTAGTCTTCTCTTCAGGAGATGAAATGCATACGAGGTTAGGTTATGCTTTTGTGATTGACATTTGAAACTCTCCATTTTTTCCCTTGGAGTTCTTTGTTGCCTTAGCAACACGTTTTAGGCCATTGGCCTCCCGATTAGTATGGATGCATTTCTTTTTAAAATGGCAGACAAAATGTTACTGTAGACTTGTAAATTCATTCTGCTGCTACCATCATGAGTTACATCATTATTAATATAAGTGAGCCTGTTCCAGAAGCAAGTATGCATGCCCAAGCCAAGACACTGCCTCCGTCATGCTTCGCAGATGAGAATGTATGCTTTGACTCATAAACAGATTTCTTCTTCGTCAGAGGGTTATTAAAAATTGAGTGCTTATACTTACTTTTCTGTATGCACTTATCATTATCTTTTGAGTGTGGATGTGTGCGCATATATATATATATATATTGAACAATAAAAATATTAAAAATTAAAATCTTTAGACACACTGGGTTGTATATTAATATTCTTTCGTTTCTATTATTATTTCATTTAGATTCCTCGACTAGTTTCAGCCAACATGGCCATCATCAGGAGAAAAAATACTGCTTGCTGGTAGCAGTGAACTACAGAAATGAATGTCTTGATGGAGAAAATGAACTTTTATTTATAGTTTTCATTTGCTTTTTGTTTTTTGGTCTGATCTTGTGTTGGTCAAACAGTCTCTTTTAAGTTATTTAAGACAAGAGCTGGATGGATTCATGCTGCTCTGAATTCCCTTGATCATTTTGACAGTTTTATTGGTTCTTGGAAAGGCGATGTGTCTCTGTTAAGTGTATGTGTTATTTAATTCTTAGGGAGTGAGTGAGTATCATGTGTGTAAGCGTGTATATTACTATTGGTGTGTGTCATCATTTGGCTCATTAGGGAGTGAGTGAGTATGATGTGGGTAAGTGTGTATATTCGTGTGGGTGTGTGTATAAGTGTGAGGCCTCAACACCTCCGTAAGCATGTCTGTCTTATGTGGTTGTGAAATGTTGGTAGGTCCTGATTGGTGGGGTTATATATTAATACTATCTATATTTTTATATTTGTGATTAAGTCCGTCTGGATAGTGCGTTTTTAAACGTTGTATCCACTTATTTTCATGGAACTCTCTCGATATATATATATATATATATATATATATATATATATATATGTGTGTGTGTGTGTGTGTGTGTGTGTGTGTTAGCAGGTAAGTCTGTATACAGTTGCTATATACTCATTACGTGTATCTAAGATATTAATATATAAATTAACTATCGCATTGTCATTTTACATTGTTACATTAATTTTACACAAATTCTTACATGTTCGTCAGTAAAATACATTTATGCAATTCAATTTCATATAATTGAAATTTCTATGTGCAAAATTTAAATATTGTTTCACAAAATTAATGAATACGTATTATATTAGAGATAAAAGTTTGAATAAAAATAAAGAAAATCAAGGAAATATGTTCAAGTGAACTAAAATTAGAGTGATCCACAAAACGCCATAAAAGGCTTTACGCATTTTCATCACAAATACGACACAAAATGTGTGCTTTTATAAAGTTTTCATATACCTAGCCGATCTGGATCCATTTCTATATACGGTGTTACAAAGATGAGAACTCTAGAGAAATGAGTTGCGTGTTGTTAGTTAGAACACTTAATTTACGTCTATGTATTTTTGAGCCTGTTTCACTTTTTTGCGTCACAGTACCTATTTACTTCAAACTATTTTGGTTTCTCGAAAATACACACGCACACACACACACACACACACACACACACACACACACACACACACACACACATATATATATATATATATATATATATATATATATATATATATATATATGTCCACTTCCCTTTCGTCTGAGTGAAATATTGAAATGGATAAATTCTGTATTATTTTTCGACTGGGTTATTTTTTTCACCCAGTTAAATTTCTATTTCCGACACTAAGTCAGTCTATCCTGGTGTTGATAACATAGACGAATTTTCCTCTGTCGATATAAGCTTATTCCTGATATGAGATGATATGGGATTTTTTTTTAGTATTAATTATTTCCTCTGTAATATTAAATACATTGTGCTCTTTTTGTGGACTAGATTTAATATTTTCTCTTACTGGGATGGACTTGGATTAAAATTCTTAAAACATGAAACAGTTTTCTTAATCATAAAGTCGGATAAAAACGTATCGTCTCGATTTAAAATAGAAATCTTACGGTATCTTTTTGTTTTAAGAAAAATCTCCGTTACCAAGAAAAACTACTGATAGGAAACAAAACTCCTTTGGAATATAACAAGGGGGAGGGGAAAGAAAAAAACTTAAGTTGCCCAGTATAAAACAAAGACTCGCCAAAGTTTATGTTTCAGCTCCCTCTGCCTACACACTCACACACACACATACACATACACACACATATCTATCTATCTATATGCATATATGTGTGTGTGTGTGTGTGTGTGTTCGTGTCTGCAGTTGTTTTCCTTAAATGTGTAATAATCAAATTTACAGATGGTCTTATGTAATATTAATGGATTAAATAAATTTATTTCGGTAAATGTGATTGTCTCAAGTGATATGAACCTCCAAGAAGTAATCAATAATTTAAAAACAATGACATCAAAAGCGAAAGTGAAAGTAGACATGTGGTGCCTGGCACTTACTGCAAAGTGAGCTGATCGATTATTTACATACTCAGATACCTCTTTCTGAGCGGAAGATCGAGAGAAATGTGACAAAAATGTTGAGGCGTGGACAGGAACATGTCATGAAGAACGTCACCATATTGGAAAAGGAAGTATGGAAGAATATATGTGTGTAAGTATAAACTCAGGCAATCAATATTCGTTAATTACATTTGTCTAAATTTTTCAATGGGGAATTATCTTTACTATATGTTTTGGCTCTTCGGATGTGTATGCTCTTTATGGACCAGTAGGCTGAGTTTCAATAGGTAGGCTCAATTTGTATCAGTGTGCTCATTTTGATCAAGTAGGCTCATTTTGGATCAGTCTGCACATTGATGATCAATAGGCTCATTTTTTATCAATGTGCTCATTTTGGGTCAGTAGGCTCATTTCTGAAACAGTGAGATCATTTTTTTTATCAGTGTGCTCATTTTGGGTCAGTTGACATATTTATGATCAGTAGGCTCATTTATTATAAGTGTGCTCATTTTGGGTCAGTAGACTTATTTATGATCAGTGTGCTGATTTATGACCAGTAGGTTCATTTTTGATCAGTGTGCTAATTTTGAATCAGTAGGCTCATTTTTTTTTAACAGAGGGCTCATTTTACATCAGTAGTCTCATTTATGTTTCACAAGTTAATTTTGGATCAGTAGACTCATTTGTGATCAGCAGGCACCTTTTTTTTATCAGTGTGCACATTTTGGATCAGTAGGCTCATTTATAATCAGTAGGCTCATTTTTGCTCAGTGTGCTATTTTTGGATCAGTAGACTCATTTATGATCAGTAGTCTCATTTTTTATCAATGTGCTTATTTTGGACCAGTAGGCTCATTTGTGATCAGTAGGCTCATTTTCTATCAGTAGGCTCATTTTTGATCATGTGCTCATTTTGGATTAGTAGACTCATTTATGATCATTAGTCTCATTTATGATGAGTAGGTTCATTTTCTATCAGTAGTCTCATTTATTATTAGCAAGCTTATTTTGGATCAGTAGAATCATTTATGATCAGTAGGCTCATTTTTATCAGTGTGCTCATTTATGACCAGTAGACTCTTTTATGATCAGTAGACTCATTTTGCATCACAAGGCTCATTTTAGATCAGTAGGCTCATTTTTGGATCAGTGTGCCTATTTATGATCAGTAGGTTCATATTTGATCAGTAGGCTCATTTTTGGATCAGTGTGCTGATTTATGATCAGTAGGTTCATATTTGATCAGTAGGCTCATTTTTGGATCCGTAGGCTCATTAATGAAATGATCAGTATGATCATTTTGCATAATTAGGCTCATCTATTTATGAGAAATGGAGGCAATGTGGATTGAAAGGAGAAACGCTGGAGTAATGGATAGCGTAAATACCTTTGGGAAAGACAGGAATTCACCTCTTCTCACCCCAAATATTGGTTAATTAGTAGGATTTGTATCAGTATATCTACGTGTCTAAAAAGTGATTGAAACGCGCTCTATGCTCATCAATATGGAAAACGCTGACAAAGCAAGTCAACAAGAATAACAAAGGAACAATGAAACTCGGTTTGTGGTATCGGAGAACCGAGTTCGATTTCGGGTCAGATCCTTTACATTCATATACGTGCTAATATCTTTGGAAAAGGGACGAATCCTTATTTTCCCCCACCCCGTGTATGGATAAATATCGGGATAAACTGGTTTTATATCTTTGAGTGGCAACCAGTCAAGGAGAAGGAAACTCTCAATTAAAACCGGATTGGATAGGGTTGGGCTCTGTCAAGTTATCTTACCCCCCCCAAAAAAAAAACATTACTTCTTCTGCGGCTGCAGTGGATGAGGTCTCCCTATCACCCTGATGAGTCGCAGGTTTCGCGATCGTAATCGATTTACGCGAAAAGGAATATAAAGAACCTTACTGAAATTCGAACATGGTTCAATATTTCCAATTCCTTGCCGTTATCGATTACGCGCATCCAAGCTTGCAGCCCCTGGTGGTCATCCATCTAGGCGCTGCATAAGCGGTGATCGTACGAGAACCGGTGTTTCAACGTGATATGGCCGTAAATTTTCTTGCATATTACTACTGATAGAAAGAGATTTTCGAGTGTGCTTGCGTGGGGATAACGGTGATCAATGGTTGACCATTAATGTTGAGTAGTGAGTTCGGAAATATCTCGGACATTCAGGCCGGTAAATGTTGTTTAATACTGTTTATTATAAACAGAGCATTTACTTAAATATTTGTATCTATAAAAGGAATGTATAAACATAAAAAAATGTCTTAAAATAATTGTCGGGCCTTGTGCATTTCATAATATGTGACGTCATTTGTTTACATTTGGATACGCCATGAACAGATATGAATATACGTGAGAGATTCATGGAAGATTGAATTTTAAATACAGTAAATTCGACCTTGCTAAGCGAACGCTCCTTCGTGGCCAAATCGGTAAAGCTAAATGACGGTTCCGTATAGGATACAAGTTCGAATCCTGTCGGAGGACGAATATTTTCTGTGAAAATATCTCGGACATTCAGGCCGGTAAATCTTGTTTAATACTGTTTATTATAAACAGAGCATTTACTTAATTATTTGTATCTATGAAAAGAATGTATAAACATAAAAATTTCTTAAAATAGATATCTATAGAAAATTTGACATTATATGTCTTCACCAATTATTGAAAGTTGGGTTTTAACAACGATCTTCAAAAATTTAAATGCCATGTCTCCTTGAACCCTGTTATCTTATTGTACTATTTCTTTCGTTCCCTCAGAAACCCCTTAGCATATTATTGGCTTTTATTGCCTTAAGTTGAAAATGATAAAAAATTCGTACTGGTAAAAGAAAAAAAATATGGCCTGATAAACTTCTATTGCATATACTCGCGTATCATACGACTTTCGAAGACCTAATTTTAAGAGGGTCGCATCATACATTAGATTTAAAATTAGCATATGTACTGCTGGTGCTCGTTAAATTATATATCCATTTACTGTAGTCAAATTAGCTTCAAAATTAGATCTTCAAAGGTCGCATGATACGCGAGTATAGACGGTAACTAAAAATCTTTAAAATCAAAGGAAGCATTGATAAAATGTGGGGGATTAGTTTTGTATTGTTCTTTAGTATCAAACTCATCCCCCATTTCTTGGTCATGATAGATTCATAGATGAAATTCCAAAACATCCTTATAGGTAATCAGATAAAAGGATGATAGAAAGTGGGGGTTCATTTTGTATTATTCTTTAGTATTAAACTTATCCCCCATTTCTTGGCCAATGTATATGCTATCCGTTGCTATAAGATAGACAGGATTTAAGTAACTTCCAAAAAATATTCTTATAGATTGTTTTGTTATATATATACCTTATATACCCGTGTATCAGGCGACTTTTGAAGACACACATCTTCACCGTGTTTTGAAAAATGAAATCATTTTATAAAACATACATACAACAAACCATTTCTTATTTAACAGTTAAAATATTTAATCCTTGAAAATGGCTAAATGTATAGCCGAAAGCGCTCGGATAAAAAGAATATTCGGACAGTTTTTATATAATTTAACATTCGAAAAGAAAAAAAATTATGTCGCCTGAGAAATTGTATAAAAACTAAATAAAAGCAACTTGTCTGTCGTATTCAATGAAATGTGCATGAAAGAAGTATTGCTGCCTAAATACACAAATATATATATATATATATATATATATATATATATATATCAAGGATGGGTAAATAATGGTTGTTTAATTAAATTTGCCAGTGACAGAAAATGTGAACGGAAAAAATATTAGAAAGAGTTTAGATAAAAAAAAATAAAAAAAAATACGTATATGGCACAAAATATACGTATATGATGCCGCTTCTTTGAATTCTAAAAATGTCATCGCTTGATTTGATCTCAAATATGGTCAGCGCCGATGCAGCTTATTGTTTCTGCAATGGTCTTTCCATCGTTTACACTATCTATACACACACACACACACACACAGACACACACACACACAGACACGCACACACACACACACATATATATATATATATATATATATATATATATATATATATATGTATATGTATATCAGGTCCGCTCCAAGCAAGACATTAAAACCACCGAGTCGCAAAGGGGTGGGGGTCCTGTGTGTAGAAGAGTTAGAAGCAGGAACATAGCTATGGAGCTAGAACAGAGAAAGAGTAATCAGGAGGAGAGTAGATAACGATTGACATTGCATTTAAATTTTTGCCGATTAAATTTGGCTGGAAATCATGCAGCTTTAAGTGAGTTGCACAGGTGAGAAGTACGACAAAAAGAATTTACGGTTGCATCTAGCCAGCTCAACTATAAATTGGTGAGACCTCATTGCCAGTCTAGTACTGCGCTTAAATTCGAAGAGTCTGGCCACCATAACGAAGAGTTCATCCGAACAATTACCATGAAAGTGTTTATAGAAAAGGCAAAGGGAGGCAACCTTGCAGCTTGACACAAAGAAGACGCCAGATCGGGGTCAATACTCTTTTCGATTCTTCTTTTGGATTTTAGTAAGGTGGTCTAGATAAATACCAGGAGTACAGCGCCATATTCTAAGCATGGACGAATGGTAGACTTATAGACATGTAAGATAGATTCTGGAAATAAAAACCATCTTGACCGACACAGTGAACCAAACTTCATGGCAACTGACCTAGCAATGGATTCAACATATTTTCCACTTCATGTCAACCGAGACGGTTAGTCCAAGAAGGCGCAGCGAGTCGATCTCCTGGAGGTCAGCATCAGCCATGATGATGGAAGGCAGAGGTGGTTCTCTCAGACGATTAATAGAGAGCAGTTTAGTTTTAGAAACTTTAAAATAAACAAGCCATTCTTTGTCCCAGTTAACAAGAGTCTCCTTTTAGATCGCAGCTGCTATTTTTGCCTGGCGTCTATAAACATGGAAACAAGGAATAATATACTTAACTAATTTGTGAAAATGGTTGAAAGAACAGGAATAAGGAGAGATGCGAAAAAGATAAATCTTCCAAAAGAGAGAAAATTGTGGATGGTTGTGATTATCCAGGACCCAGTTGAAACGGTACATAGTAGAAGAAATATTTAAAGAATAATAATAAGAAGAATTTGAAGAAGAAGAATTTGAAAAAGTAAAGGAAGAATTTGAAGAATAATTTGAAGAGTAAGGAGTATTGGAAGAAGAAGAATTTGAAGAAGATTTTGAAGAATTTGAAAAAGGAGAATTTGAGGAAGAAGAATTTGAAGAAGAATCTGAAGAAGAAGAAGAGGAAGAAGAAGAAGAATTTGAAGAAGATGAAAAAGAATTTGATGAAGGAGACTTTGAAAAAGAAGAATTTGAAGAAAAATAATTTGAAGAATAAGTTGAAGAAATTTTGAAGAATTTGAAGAAGAATTTGAAGAATTTGAAGAAGAAGAATTTGAAGAAGAAGAATAAGAATTTGATGAAGAAGGATTTGATGAAGAGAAAGAATTTGAAGAAGAATTTGAAGTAAAAGAAGAGGAAGAAGAAGAAGAGGAAGAAGAAGAGAAGTATTTGAAGAAGATGAAAAAGAATTTTGATGAATTTGAAGAAGAATTTGAAGAAGAATTTGAAGAAGAATTTGAAGAATAAGAAGAATTTGAAGAAGAAGAAGAATTTAATGAAGAAGAAGAATTTGATGAAGAATTTGATGAAGAAGAATTTGAAGAAGAATTTGAAGAAGAATTTGAAGAAGAAGAAGAATTTGAAGAAGAAGAAGAATTTGAAGAAGAAGAAGAATTTGATGAAGAAGAAGAATTTGATGAAGAAGAATTTGATGAAGAAGAAGAAGAAGAAGAATTTGAAGAAGAAGAAGAATTTGATGAAGAAGAAGAATTTGATGAAGAAGAAGAATTTGAAGAAGAAGAAGAATTTGATGAAGAAGAAGAATTTGATGAAGAAGAATTTGATGAAGAAGAAGAAGAAGAATTTGAAGAAGAAGAAGAATTTGAAGAAGAAGAAGAATTTGATGAAGAAGAATTTGATGAAGAATTTGAAGAAGAATTTGAAGAAGAATTTGAAGAAGAAGAAGAAGGTTTAGATTTCGATTATTTATCGTCATACTAACAACACGCGTCATTTCGCGCCAAATCGTGTAGTTTTAACATTTGTTTATATATTGTATCTATTTTTCAGAAAAAAATCATTATTATATGAAGGTGGGGATGTTATTCAGTTTTAGATGCATTTTCTAGATATTTTTTGTATTTTCATAGAGTTTTGTTTGGGGTTTCACTACATGCTACCACCCCGAGTCAAGGTGGACCTGAGAACAAAAAAAAAATTAGACACATTTCTTAAAACCCCACTTCTCTCGATCACTGACCTTGCTGCCGGATTTAGTTTATCGTCATATCCAGGACGACGAAGAATATTTTGAAGAAGAAGAAGAAGAAGAAGAAGAAGAATTTGAAGAAGATTTTGAAGAATAATAACTAGAAGAAGAAGAAGAATTTGAAGAAGAATTTGAAGAAGAATTTGAAGAATAATTTGAAGAAGACTTTGAGGAAGAATTTAAAGAAGAAGAATTTGAAGAAGAATTTGAAAAAGAACAAGAATTTGAAGAAGAAGAATTTAGAGAAGAATTTGAAGAATAACAATTTGAAGAAGAAAAATTTGAAGAGGAAGAAGAATTTGAAAAAGAAGAAGACAAAGAAGGAGGATTTGAAGAAGAATTTGAAGAAGAAGAAGAAGAAGAAGAAGAAGAAGAAGAAGAAGAAGAATCATTTATTTGATTCGGGAATAATAAATGCTGGTCATTTATTTTTGAGCCTTTAAGAATTTACTTGGTAGGTTGCTCTTTGAAAGAGAAGCAGGCGACATATTCCAGGCAACGCCGATCAGACAGTTAATAGAACGAATGAATAATATGACATATTTCTTTTATGCAACTACTATTCCTGATATCCCATATTATATAGAAACTCAAATATGAGGAATTTTCATGCAATCTTTTTTTTTTCTCTTGAACCAAACAAACCGTCCGAAACATCACAGGCAGCAAAAAATTAAAGTTATCATAAACAACAATATTATATTATGACATTACCGGGTCTCTATTGATTTTTTTTAATGTCGGAAAACTCGAGAATATGAATAATAATTCAGTGTGAATTTATGATGAAAAAGAATAAAGGTTTACATTATTAGATTCTATTGCGTCTCCTCTTCTATAAAGCCTTAGGGTTTCGTTTTTTTTATTTTGTAAAAAAAAAATGATGGGATTTATAAAGTCGAGCGAATGATGAAGAGTAAAGTGTAGCTTGTCGGAATATCGAATCTGTTAGTGGAGTTGGGTAATGGGTGGGGCGGGGATTGGAAAGGCGTGTTCATTGCAATACAATAGCGGGTATCTGTAGGCGGGTAAAAATAGTAGCACTGAGCTTTAGGTATTCATTTGGCTTTTGAGATGCACGTGGGGAAAAAGGAAAGGATATATTAGTGAGGAACGAATATAGGGGCAAATAAAAGTGTGGGGGGGGGAAAGAGGGTATGAGTGATATAAGAATTGAAAACGGATGGAAGGGAATTAAAGTAAGACGGTAGAATGAAAGTGAAGAAAAGAAAAATTGAGGGCAAAAGAGAAGGAAGGAAGAATGAAAAACTAAAAAAAAAACGGTGTGTGTGTGGAGGGGGGAGGATTCAAGTAAGAGTCGCCAAAAGAGTGCACGAAAGCAAGGAAAGAGATGTGTCATATAAGAAAGAAAGAAAGAAAGAAAGAAAGAAAGAATGAAAGAAAGAAAGAAAGAAAAATACGTGGCATATGACAGAAAGAAAGAAAGAACACGTTGCATATGAAATAAAGAAAGAAAAAAATTAAGAAAATACGTCGCATATGAAAGAAAGAAAGAAAGAAAGAAAGAAAGAAGAATACGTTGCATATGAAATAAAGAAATAAAAATACGTCGCATATGAAAGAAAGAATGAAAGAAAGAAGAATACGTCGCATATGTAATAAATAAATAAAGAATGAAAAATACATCGCATACAAAAGAAAGAAAGAAAGAAAGAAAGAAAGAAAGACTGAAAAATGAAATGAATTTCGAAAGGTAGAAAAGTGGAGAAAGAAAAAGGGAAGTATTAAAGCAAGATTGAAGAAAGAAAGAAAAAAAGAAAGAAAGAAAGAAAGAAAAATACGTCGCATATGAAAGAAAGAGTGAACAAAAAAAGGAAGACAAATACGTCGCATATAAAAGAAAGAAAGAAAATGGAATGGTAGAAAGAAACTCAGACAAAATAGAAAGAACGAAAAGCAACAGAAAGAAAGAAAGAAAGAAAGAAAGAACGGCAGGGAGGAAATAAAGAAAAGAAAAAAGAAAGGTGGTAATAAAGAAATGAAAAAAACACAGATTAAGAAAAGAAAAAAAGAAAGAAAGAAAGAAAGAAAGAAAGAAAGAAAGAAAGAAAGAAAGAACGGCAGGGAGGAAATAAAGAAAAAAGAAAGGAATGGTGGTCGCCTGAAATATGGAGAAAAACATAGATTAAGAAAGAAAAGAAAGAAAGAAAAGAAAGAAAGAAAGAAAAGAAAAGAAAAGAAAGAACGGCAGGGAGGAAATAAAAAGAAAAAAAAGAAAGGAATGGTGGTAGCCTGAAATACGGAGAAAAAGATAGATTAAGAAAGAAAGAAAGAAAGAAAGAAAGAAAGAAAGAAAGAAAGAAAAGAAAGAACGGCAGGGAGGAAATAAAAGAAAAAAAAAAGAAAGGAATGGTGGTAGCCTGAAATACGGAGAAAACATAGATTAAGAAAGAAAGAAAGAAAGAAAGAAAGAAAAGAAAGAAAGAAAGAAGGAAATAAAGAAAAAAAGAAAGAATGGTGAAATATGGAGAAAACATAGGGAAAGAAAGAAAGAAATAAAAGAAAGAAAAGAAAAAAGGCAGAAAGGAAAATAAAAAAAAAAGGTGGAAATCGCCTGAAATAAAGGAAAGAAAAGAAAGAATAAGAAAATAAAGAAAGAAATAAAAGAAAAAGAAAAAGAATGGTGAAAGAAAAGAAAGAAAGAAAAGAAAGAAAGAAAGAAAAAAAGAAAGGCAGGGAGGGAAAAAAAAGAAAAAGAAAGGAATGGTGGTCGCCTGAAATATGGAGAAAAAATATAGATTAAGAAAAAAGAAAGAAAGAAAGAAAGAAAAAAGAAAGAAAGAAAAAAGAAAGAACGGCAGGGAGGAAATTAAGAAAAAAAAAGAAAGGTGGTCGCCTGAAATACGGAGAGAAAACATAGATTAAGAAAAGAAAAGAAAGAAAGAAAAAAGAAAAAAAGAAAGAAAAGAAAGAAAGAACGGCAGGGAGGAAATAAAGAAAAAAAGAAAAGAATGGTGGTCGCCTGAAATACGGAGAAAAATATAGATTAAGAAAAGAAAAAAAGAAAGAAAGAAAGAAAGAAAGAAAGAAAAGAAAGAACGGCAGGGAGGAAATAAAGAAAAAAAAGAAAGGAATGGTGGTAGCCTGAAAATATGGAGAAAACATAGATTAAGAAAAAAGAAAAGAAAGAAAGAAAAGAAAAAGAAAGAAAAGAAAGGGAGAAAGAAAAAAAAGAAAGAACGGTCGGAAATATGGAAAAACAAAAGAAAAAAGAAAGAAAAAAGGAAAGAAAGGAAAGAAGGGAGGAAATGAAAAAAGAAAAGAATGGTGGAGAGAAAACATAGATTAAGAAAAGAAAGAAAGAAAGAAAGAAAAGAAAGAAAGAAAGAAAGAAAGAAAGAAAAAAAAAAAAAGAAAAAAGAACGGCATGGAGAAAAAAAGAAAAAAGAAAGGAAAGGTGGTAGAACCTGAAATATGGAAAAAGAAAACAATAGATTATGGAAAAACAAAGAAAGAAAGAAAAAGAAAGAAAAAGAAAGAAAGAAAGAAAAAAGAACGGCAGGAGGAAAAATAAAGAAAAAAAAAAGAAATGGTGGTAGCCTGAAATATGGAGAAAAAAATATAGATTAAGAAAGAAAGAAAGAAAGAAAGAAAAGAAAAAAGAAAAGAAAGAAAGAAAAAGAAAGCAGGGAGGAAATAAAGAAAAAAAAGAAAGAAAGAAAGAAAAAAGGTGGTAGCCTGAAATAATAAAAGAAAAAACATAGATTAAGAAAGAAAAAAAGAAAGAAAGAAAGAAAGAAAGAAAGAAAGAAAGAAAGAAAGGGAGGAAATAAAGAAAAAGAAAAGAATGGTGGTAGCCTGAAATATGGAGAAAAACATAGATTAAGAAAGAAAGAAAGAAAGAAAGAAAGAAAGAAAAGAAAGAAAGAAAGAATGGTGGTCGCCTGAAATATGGAGAAAACATAGGAAAGAAAGAAAGGGAAAAAGAAAGAAAGAAAGAAAAAAAGAAAGAAAAAGAAAGGAAATGGTGGTAGCCTGAAAATTGGAAAATATAAAAAAAAAAAAGAAAGAAAAAAATAAGAAAAAGAAAAGAAAGAAAGAAAAAAAAGAAAAAGAAAGAAAAGAAAATAAGGGAGAGAAAGAAAGGCAAGGGAGGAAATAAAGAAAAAAATAAAGAAAAAAAAAAAAAGAATGGTGGTAGCCTGAAATATGGAGAAAAACATAGATTAAGAAAGAAAAAGAAAAGAAAGAAAGAAAGAAAGAAAGAAAGAAAGAAAGAAAGAACGGCAGGGAGGAAATAAAGAAAAAAGAAAGGAATGGTGGTAGCCTGAAATACGGAGAAAACATAGATTAAGAAAGAAAGAAAGAAAGAAAGAAAGAAAGAAAGAAAGAAAGAACGGCAGGGAGGAAATAAAGAAAAAAGAAAGGAATGGTGGTAGCCTGAAATACGGAGAAAACATAGATTAAGAAAGAAAGAAAGAAAGAAAGAAAGAAAGAAAGAAAAAAAAAAAGAAAAAAAGAAATATGGCATAGGGAAAGGAAATAAAAAAGAAAAAAAGAAAGGAATGAACGGTAGGGAGAAATAAAAGGAAAAAACATAGATTAAGAAAAACATAGAAAGAAAGAAAGAAAGAAAGAAAGAAAGAAAGAAAGAAAGAAAGAAAGAAAGAAAGAAAAAAGAAAGGAATGGTGGTAGCCTGAAATACGGAGAAAACATAGATTAAGAAAGAAAGAAAGAAAGAAAGAAAGAAAGAAAGAAAGAAAGAAAGAAAAAAGAAAGAAATATGGAAAAAAAATATAGAAAAAAAAGAAAGGAAAGAAAAGGTGGAAAAGAAAGAAAGAACAGCAGGAGGAAATAAAGAAAAAAAAAAAAACAATAGATTAAATATGGAAAAAAAGAAAGAAAGAAAGAAAGAAAAGAAAGAAAGAAAGAAAGAAAGAAAGAAAGAAAGAAAAAAGAAAAAAGGAAATGAATGATGGTCGCCTGAAATACGGAGAAAAAATAGATTAAGAAAGAAAGAAAGAAAGAAAAAGAAAGAAAGAAAGAAAAGAAAGAAAGAAAGGGAAAAAAAGAAAAGAAAAAGAATGGTGCCTGGAAATATGGAGAAAAAACATAGATTAAGAAAAAAAAAGAAAAGAAAGAAAAAAGAAAGAAAGAAAGAACGCATAAAGAAAAAAATGATGGTTAAAATATGGAGAAAAATATAGAAAGAAAGAAAAGAAAGAAAGAAAGAAAGAAAGAAAGAAAGAAAGAAAGAAAGAACGGCAGGAGGAAATAAAGAAAAAAAGAAAAGAATGATGGTAGCCTGAAATATGGAGAAAAAATAGATTAAGAAAGAAAGAAAGAAAGAAAGAAAGAAAGAAAGAAAGAAAGAAAAGAAACAACAGGGGAGGAAATAAAGAAAAAAAAAGGAATGGTGGTCGCCTGAAATATGGAGAAAACATAGATTAAGAAAGAAAGAAAGAAAGAAAGAAAAGAAAGAAAGAACGGCAAGAAAGAAAGAAAAAGAAAGAACGGCAGGGAGGAAAACATAGATAAAAAGAAAAAAGAAAGAAAGGAAAAGGTGGTAAGAAAGAAACGCCTGAAATAATTCGAAAACATAGATTAAGAAAAAAAAGAAAGAAAGAAAGAAAGAAAGAAAGAAAGAAAGAAAGAACGGCAAAGGAAATAAAGAAAAAAGAAAGGAATGGTGGTCGCCTGAAATACGGAGAAAAACATAGATTAAGAAAGAAAGAAAGAAAGAAA